AGTACAGTGGTACTCTAGTATTGTAATACTCTAGGATTGTAGTAGCACGCTAGTACTGTCGCACCGTAGTAACAGTGTAGTCCTAGTTATACTCTAGCACTGTAGTAGTAGTGCGGTTGTAGTACTGTGGTAGTAATGATATTCTCGTTGGACATGCGACAACTGACAAATCGCGCGCAGGCAGACCCCCCACTTGGGAGAAATGACGGGGGGTCCGATCGAAATTGACCCCCTGGAGCGATGAATAACAGCGGGAACGTTCCACCACTAACCGCCCCCTCGTTGACGACTGAGCCTGCCTGAACACACTTACCGAGTCCACCTCTCATGACCGGGGGTGATGTGCTGAATCGGCACATGTCACTTCGAAGGCAGGTGGAGTAGCTCTGGGAGTCCCCAAGAAATGGGCATCTTGGTCCTGACGACACCTGGCCTCGAACATGGACGACTTACAAGGCAAGAGCGTCGACAAACACAAGACATACCATAACATCACCACGGGCGTTCGGTTAAAAGACTTGGTGGGGATGCACGTACTCTTGAAGGGTGCGCACATCGCGATCCTTGGCGGCTACCTCTACGACGGACTGGGGATTACAGGAGCCAATGTGGAGAAGTTGCGTCATATGGCGTCGTTGGTGTCATCGTTATCCACACCATGGGTCATCTTGTGCGACTGGAGCTCCCCGCCTGAAGCCCTTCGGAAAGCAGGGCGGCTCAACTTGGCGCAGGGAAACACATTGGTTGCCGACAATGTGGATTACGCGTACACTGGTGGGCAAGGTACACTTATCGACTACGTGGTGGCTTCAGGGTCCGCTCTTGAGTACCTCGATCGGGTACACGCGGATACTGATATGGTTGGTGAAGGGGGCAAGGCCCATTATGGCATAGTGCTGGATCTCTTGATGGAGGCCAAAGAAGCATAAGGACGAACGCTGGGACTTCCCAAGGCCTTCGGACCACCCAATCAGCCGAAGAAAAAGGCCGACCCGAACAGCAAGCGCACACGGAAGCCGGTGGTGGTGGCTACCCCGACGGCTACGAGGCCCAAAGTACCTACGCTGGGATCTCGCAAGGGATTGGGGATCAAGGCACCACCGCCCTACAACTACCTGGGTACTACGGACTTGGGGGAGGAGTCTGCGATGACGAGGAGGAGGACGACGAGGACCCACCACCCGAGGGTGAGCCAGGAGCAGACCTAGTCCCACCAGCAGCTGATGAAGGGCTGGGCGAGAAGTGGTCTTTCCGCAGCGGAGAGGAGGTGTGGGACTCGATCGCCACCACTAATGACAAAAGGTGGTCAAAACCTCAAGATTACGTTCGGGACTCGCATGCTTGGCATCTTACGGCCGACAGCGCTTCCTCTTTGGGGCATCAATTTGGCAAGTGGGTCAGCAAGGTGGAGGACTACTTCAATGTTCTATTAGATGGTGAAGGCTTGGACAAGGACGGCAAAGCCCAGCGCGGCAGAGGCATTGCCCGTTCGGCCAGGATCAACAACGTTGTGCTTTCTCCACCTTTCACTCGGACTTGGGACCCTGGGGTGGATTGGTGGGGTAAGAATGCTTTCTTGCTAGAGGAACTAGACAGGGCCACCTCGAAACGTGAGGCCCCCAGGTTCAGCAAGCTCATCAACAGACTGAGGGACGCGACAGCGAGCGTTCCCACTTCCATCCTGGCCTCTTTGCCGAGGAAGGAGAAGCAGTCATGGTGCAGGAAGCTTCGTATGTTGAGCTCTGCCACGAATGACAGCGTCCGCAGGTACAAGGAGGACTGCATCAAGATTGCCAGCAGTCTACAAAGCATGGAGTGCTACTCACAGTGCTTAGCGTTCTCGCAATGGGCGGAGGAGCAGTACATAGCGGCGCCTGGCAAGTTATTCCGACTTTTCAAGGATAAGCCAGCAGCGACGGACGAGTTCGAAGACGGTCTGAGCGTCTCCTCCGATCCGCTCACGGCGATGGATATCAGAGCGAAGGTCTTGCGAAAGAAGTGGAATGATCCTTCCTTGGATATCGAGAAGGTGTCGTATCTTCTGAGCACTGCGCGCGACCGCTTCAGGAAAGCCCCCTTCCCCACCTTCGACTTGGAGACGCCGGAGGAGGGCATCAGGAGGATGAAGATCAGGAAGATGAAGGGCACCTCGGCCAAGGTCATCGAGCAGCCGGGTAAGAAAGATCTGGTTTGGCTTCCAGAGCAAGGCAAGTTGGAATTGGTGCATTTATTGCAGCAGATTGAGAAGGAGGTCGCCTGGCCCTGGCAGCTCACAGTAGTATTGGTGACTCTCGCGAGGAAACCTTCAGGCGACAACAGGGCCATCGGGGTACTGTCTAACCTTGCGAGGCTGTGGTCTAGTTGTCGAGGTGAGTACCGTGCCAGTTGGGCTCGTGATAGGGCTGGGCATCGGGACGCTGCTGCGGCAGGATCGTCTGCCTTACGCGAGGCCCTGATGCGCAGCTACCTGGACGAGACGGTGGCTCTATCTACGATTCAAGGCTGCGCAGGCGAGTATGATGTGGGATATCGAAGGATTCTACGACGCTCTCAAGTGGAAGTTACTGCTTGAATCAGGATTTGAGCATGAGTTTCCCCCTGGCATACTGGCCATGGAGATGATCCTGCACATGGGAGTCCGCTTCTTACGTGATAGCGGGTACTACTCCGACGCCATCATCCCTGAGCAGAGCATGATTGCGGGCTTGGGAGGTGCAATTGATTTCTCAAGGTGTGCGTTGCACAACATTCTCGACAGAATAGCCCGAGGTACGCCGGGGGTGACTACACGGTCCTGGGTTGACGATGTTTCTCAGCGTGTGGAAGGAAGGCACAAGAGGGTCCTTGGTCTGGCCTTGCAGGCAGGACTCACATTTGCCAAAGGATGTTCCGATGCGTGTTTGGTTATTTCGACTAAATCTACCATCGTCATCAGTCAAGCTGACCTGGGGGAAGCTCTTCAGAACGGTTTTCCCAAGGAAGGCTTCACGGTCAAGATCGAGAGCGTCGCCACGGACCTTGGCATTGATCGGGGCACAGTTGGCTTTCGACGCCCTAAGCAAGCTCAACGTCGACGTGGAACACAAAATCGGTTCAACCGTGTCAAGCGCTTTGCACAAGGAGCTGTTCGGAAGAAGATACTATGATGGCAGTCTTACCGATGGCGGACCATTCGGACAATGTGTTCGGCGCGGCCCCCTCAGTTATCAACGGCTGGAGGAAGGCGCTCGGGCAGACCCTGGCCAAGAAGTGGCCCGGTCGTTCCCGTGCCACCTTGCTGCAACTTCGCGTGGGGAGGCAGGACCCGCAGTACCAGATTGTGCACAGGCTGGTCGAGTCGTGGATGGCTGTCATCTTCAAACCTGGGTTCGATCTGGAGCTGGCTCGACGAACGTGGCGTGCGGCTAGGAGGAGGATCGACGACAGAGCGCAGAAAGACAGGTGGCGTGGCATCACTGGAGTGGTTTCTGCTACGATCGCCACGCTGTTGGACATAGGCTGGGACCCTGTGGGACCTTGGGCTTAGATCTCGGATGCTGGGGGGCGCTTCATGGCACCAGACAGCATCATAGGGAAAGGTCCCCAGGACATGAATGCCCTCAAAGACGCCATCTCGGACACCATCGGTAGGGTACTATGGGACAAGGCTTCGAGGCACTGGAATGGCAAGGGCCTATCAGAAGGAGCAGATCTACGTGATGCTCGTCGGCACCTCGCTTCCCTGAGGAAGAAAGGTGAACTCGAGATGGTAGGTGCCATCGAAGCAGTCATGACGGGAGCCTCTTGGACACGCAGCAGGATAGCCACCCTCAGTAGCAGCAAGCTGGACTCCACGGACTGCCAGAGATGCGCTTGCGGCGAGGAGACGGATCTTCATCGCAGCTGGGCCTGTTCCTGCAATGGCCTCTTTTCTACCATCTCTCAGACACTTATCCGTCGTGCTCATGAGGATCATGAAGAGCTACCTTGCCCCTGGCTTCGAGGGGTGTTACCTTCGTCTTGGACGCAAGTGGATGAGCCGACTGACACACCGTTCGACGAGGTTATGGGCCACAAGGATGGTCTTCGAGGTTGCGGGCACCTACTTGTCGGGGGCGATGCGTCTGGTGGTGCTCAAATTGGAGACCCACGGCTTCGGCGGATTGGTTGGTCGTACCAAGTTATCCAGGTCCTCCACGAACCTGCCATGGATGTCAAGCTGTTGTATTTCCGAGGGGCGGCATTCCCTTGAAACAAACCATCAACAGGGGGGAGACGACGGCCCTGCTCAGGGCGGTGGAGGATCTCTTAGGGCTTGGTGTGCCCATCATTTTTGTCACGGACTCGGGTTACGTCGGGAAGGGCATCGCCAAGCTCAATGCAGGTCGGCTCCCGACGACCAACTTGGACCTCTGGTTAAAGTTGAAGCAAATGTTGATGCCACATCAGTCACTGCTCAGTGTTGTCAAGATCGAGAGCCACATGTCAATTGAAGAGGCGGCGAACACTGGCACCACGGTGGAGCACTACCTGGCCAATGCTATGGCTGATGAAGCAGCAGGCTTTTGGGCTGAGAAGTGCCGCAAGACGCCCAGCACCAGCAGCTTCTAACTTTCTCCCAGCGGCTACTTTTACTTTTCAGAACATTTGTTATATGGAGGCCGCTGTGGTTTTCATGGTATTTGGCCTCCATCCTCGAGGGCGGCCCCTACGTGCATGTATTGCTGGGGGTGGCCCCTCCTGGGACCCCAGCCATGTGCTTCGTCGAGGCGCTCATATTCCTGGGGGTGGCCCCTCCTGGGACCCCAGGTGGCAGCCGCGGCTGAGCGGCTGCTTGTCCTCCTCCCTCTTCCTTTCCTCGCCCGCGCGTGTCTCAGCCTGGCTTCGGCTTGGGAGGAGAGGCGCTCACGGCCCGCGGAGTACTAAATACTCCTCCTCCTCCTCCTCCTCCTCCTCCTCCTCCTCCTCCTCCTCCTCCTCCTCCTCCTCCTCCTCCTCCCACCTCCTCCCTGCTCCCCCTCCTCTCCCTCCACCTTCCTGCGCACTGCCAAAGTATTCGCTGTTGTGCACCCATCTCGGCGGCGCTGGAGGACGCCTCTCGCCTAGCAGCTGGCACAGCTGCGCCCGGCAGAGCCCCAGGCAGCAGAGGCGGCCCACCCCCTCGGATTGGAGAGGATCGACTAAAACATAACGAATTTAACATATCCAGGGTGTAGACTGAAACCTCAGCCTGGGGGTGTCTTGGGTGCTTTGCGGGGCTTTTCGTCCCCTTCTCGGCCCTTCCCCGCCTCCTCGCCGTCTCCTGTGGCACGGGAGGGGAGCCGACGCATTGAGCCAGCCTCAGGAGACGGCCTTCGCCTTAGCATGTCCCTCCTCCGCGCGCGCGAGAGGTGGCGCCTCGCAGGCTCCCGGCGGCAAGTCCAGCAGCCAGGTGGCCACCATCGCGGCCCCGCACAGTGCCGCGAGCACGCTGTAGGAGAGGCCCGTTGGCACCAGGGCACAGAGAGGCGCAGCAGAGGTGAAGAGCCTGGCCACCCCGTTCGACACCCCAATCGCCGCGGACCGGCAGTGGGGCGGGAAGCACTCCACGATGGCAGAGGACCGCACGACGACACGGAGCTTGAACCATCGGAGAATGGCGCGCGGCCTTCTCGGGTCGGCGCTGGATCTCCTTTCACGCACCCCTGGCGATGGGCCCAGCGCCGGCCCAAGTCATCCGCGCAGGCCTCCGATGGTTTCTGCTCCCGCCGCCTGCTGGCCCTCCAGATGAGGAGATAGACCGTGCTCCATGCCAGGTTGAGGCAGAGCCGCGCAGCCAGCGCGCACCCTACCTCCAGTGCCGAGCCCGTGGGCATCATGGCGGCAAGAAACAGAGACACCGCCGAGCCCAGGAAGCCGTACACCTGCGAGTCCTTATTGCCGGCCCAGAGCAGCGTGGGCCCGGTGAGGCCCCAGGAGACGATGTCCACCGCGGAGAACAAAATGATGTTGAGGTACACGTTCGAGGACAGGTTCTCGGATGAATAGGACAGCCCGTAGTAGCTCGCACACACACCCGTCCAGCAGACGCAAGTGAGGGCCGTGGTCCTCCACAACCCCTCGCCGAGAAGTATGCGCAGCTCGCTCCAGCCTTCCCCCTGCGCGGCCTCCGCCGTGGCCGCGCTCCCTTTGTCCCGCGTCGTGTAGGCTGGGGACTCGCTGGCAAATACTATACCCATCAGCACAATAACCAGCATCGGCAGATACCACAGGGCGGTCTCCAGGCGCCAGTTCATCGAAGCGGTCACCGTCCAGCAGAGAACCGCCATGATGATGAGTCCGAGGCTGTAGCACATGAGCCATGCGATCTGGCAGGCAGGCCTCAGGCGCTCCACCACCGTCTCCTGGACAAGCAGGAAGCCTATCTGACCTGAGGGTGGCAGCGTGTAGCCTACCACGAACATCGCCACACCGTAGAACCAAACTTGTGTGGCCCGCGTGCTAGCTATGCCGGCGATTATTGCGATTAGAGCCAACGTGTAGCAAGGAGCCTTACGGCCGAACCTATCGATCACGAGCATGTACGTGGATGATGCCAAACACCAGCCAATCCACAAAAGGCACTGGCAATACACGGTTTCAGTTTCGGAAAAGGCAGTCGGGTCCGCATCGATCTTGTCAAGTGTGAAAACGATTAGTTCGGTCGCGGCGGATCCGAGGATGCCGATGCCCCCAGCAAGGACAGTGACCCTGATAGCGTTGGCCACTTCATCGTCACGCTGTCCGACCAAAGGTTCAAGCTCCTCGGCGGAACTGGAGAGCTGCATCAACAAATCCCTCAATGGACCGGGCAAAATGTACGCTCAACCACTGAAATATGTATGATTGGGAGGCCGGTACGGTTTCGGCTTGAGTGCCCCTTGTTGCCTATTCGTGGACAACTTCGATTCTGGAGCCGAAGTGGCTGCGGGGGATGAGGATACATGAGCAAGTTGTGCTTCTTTGATATGCACAACTGGCCAGGTTTCACACGTTTTTGATGGAATGGCTACGAGCTGGGCGGAGCAACGACAGTAACTAGCCTCGTCGGAAAGCACCAACAACCACGATTCCAGCTCCAATTCACCAGCTCCCACGTGGGGCTCTCATCTACTCTCCACAATGCCCCCCCGGCACGTGGAGGCGCGGTACAATGCCAGATACTGTCTGGTAGTGTGCGCCGTCAATCTTTCAGGCAGCCCCCCCAAACCCCTGGCGTCATGATGTTTTCATGACGCGACCCCCAGGGGTCCGGACCCATTCCCCGTGGCTGGTTTTTCATCCCGAGCAGGTTCTCGACGGCCCCGAGGCCTGGCAAGGGCCCCCAGAGGCCGAAAATAGCGAAAAACCTCCCGTCGTGATTCTGTCACAACTCGACGGGGTCTGGGCCGCCCACACGTGTCGCTGCGCTCAGGTGCGCGCGTCGCCCCCCTCCCGATTTTTTGCCAAGGCCGCCCGCGGCCTCCCTCTGGGGCGCGCAAAAGAGTCATTCGCTAGAGGAACGCTGTTTCTGGCAAAAGTGGGGTTTGATGATGAAAGTGAAGCGTTGGTCTCATCCCTCAAGATAGGTGTCTCTGACATGCTTTCCTTAGCCCGCTAAGCTATGAGCAACTGTACACACGAGAACAAAGGAGAGAGGACGACGAAGACGACGGTCCACAACCTTTCAACTCTCGCGCCGACGGGCAGCCGCTCCCCCGGCGGCGGGCCGCGTGGGCCCCACGCTTCAAACCCACCCCAAGGAACACCGCGGTTTCCCGGCACCCCCTGAGGCACATTGGCCCCCCTTCAGCGCCAACCACCATTCAATTTTTCGGCGCCAGGGGACAATCCCGCAGGATCTCCCTTGGGGAGGGCCGCAACGGACCGACGACTCCCACGAACCCCCTGGCATCAAAAGTGAACGTTGAAGTTCATGTGCAGGCACTTTGTCCCGTTCCTGTAGAGCATGTAGAGCAGCCCCGACTGAGTCGTGGCCAGCAATTTTCCCCGTCACCTCGTACGATGACGATCATAATAGTCGTCAGCTCAACGCTGCCACTTCCTCTCAGCATAATTGCGCACGTATTTGCCATCAGTTCCATGGTGATCATAATGGTGGCTGTTCCATTGGCCCTGATGTTGGTCTCTGTAGTAATTAGTTGCTCTGGGTCATGCGTACACTCGGCGCCTGGCGCCAGCCCGATGCGCCGCGCTCCGCCCATTGCCCTTGTTGTCTTTGATGTGCCCGAAGCATCCGCTGCCTTGGCTCACTCTGCGATGCTGAGGCCTGCCTGGGCCCAGCCTCGCGGCCCCAGCTCCGCCCCGGCGTCGGCGGCGGGCCTGGTAGGGCATCGCGCCGCGGAGGCAGCCTGGCTCAGCCTGGGCGCGCCGTCGCGGAGGGCGCGGCCATCGGAGACCGCAGCCAGCGCATTGCCCGCTAGCGGCACGGGGGGGTAGGGAGAGCAGAAGAAGCGCCGACTGAGCCAACGCAGTGAACGAACGCTCTCTTCTTCACCCCCCATAAGTTTCAACGGATCTGGCGACGGAGCACTGCCGGCTAAGCCGGTAGCAGTTCCTTCCGAGATGGCTGTCTTATCGGACACAAGTGACTGCGCGGCTGGAGGCGCAGACTGTTGCTGCCTTTCCCTTCTGGTCACAATGCTCCGCATTGTGTCGTCGGCGGGCGTGCCAACATCGGCTGAGCCGATGCCGGGGGGGCCCACCCTTCGAAACATCAAGCAGAATCCCGATGGCGATCGCGGCGTTTTGCTGACCATGGTCGGCGACCAAGCGCCCCCGCATCTCAGCGCATTTACCCTGCAACGGCTCCTCCAATGAGATCAATCATCCTGGGCCCCAACTCCGCGATCAGTGTCTCCAGCAAGTCGGAGCTTTTGACTGCCCCCTATTTTCTCGTCGATTTCATGTGAAGATCTCTGCATCTGCTGCGGGCAACGTTGCACCCTATCAACTAGATATTGTTTCTCGTCCTGGGCACCCAGCGCACTTTGCATGTCTGTCGGGGGCGCACTGCCTTGTTCTTGCACGATAAAGTCCACGAGCTATGCATTCTCAGATAATGTTCATTGCGCGAAGGGGCCCGTTCTCAAATCGGGCAGGGGCACTCTTCTTTTCCCGGAAATTATCAATGAGCTTGCCAAGCCTCTCGCAGAGGATGTCTTCATCCTTGTCATCGAACATTACGTCAACAACTACGTATTGCAATGAATCTTTGAGCGCTGCCGCTACCGCGTCGCGCCCACAAATTTCAACGGCAATCTCCGCCTGGGGACCCTTAGACAAGTCCGTCCCTTCCTTGGCGACTGTTTGCCCGAAAGGACGTCTCAGTGCATCTTTGGCCCTCGCAATCGTAAATATGATCTTGGTTGTGTCAAAAGTCATTCTGGCATTCGCATCGGTAAACTGGAAAGCCTCTTCAATATTTCCGCCATCGTTGGACGGGCTCTTCGAATAAATGGCCCCAGGGCCTATTTCGCACTCGAACTCGGGCTTCTCCACAAATTGGCGATCGACAGTGTAGGCGTTGGGGCGGTTGAGACCAAGGTCCAACAATTTCTCATGCATCCTTTTCTCGTCTTCGGAAGTCATGCATGGCCGGCCCTTAAGGCTTCGAGATTCGCGACGGCAAGCTCGATGGGGAAATGCGGAGTGAAGGAACGACTGAGTCTGTCCTATTTCTATACGCGCGCGCCCACCAACCATGCGGCCGCGGGGGGAACGGTTCCGTCCACTGCAAGGTTCTCACCCTAGAGCTGCAATTTAATCTTTGGTTCAATTTGATCGTCTTTCACGTCGGGCCAGATCAATGAACAGAGAGGAAGGCATCTCATTCGAACTTCGGTCGGGTCGATGCGCCTCCGCACAACGGGCCGCCATTCGGCCGCTCTGCATTGACCCTTTCCCAAAGACTGCACGCAACGAACCTCGTCTTGAACGGTTCAGGGAAGCGAAACTACGGCTCGCATCGGCATGAGGGTTTATTCTCCAATCAGAATTTGCTTATGTATGGGGTCCTAGCGGATTCAAATGGTTCCCCAATCAGAGCTTGCCTCTGTAGGGGCCCTAGCGGATTTAAGGGTACGTGAGGTGTGCCGCCGATTCGGTGGCCGGGCCTGGGTGCCCGGGTGCCCGGGTGCCCGGGTGCCCGGGATCGCCGCAGATTCGGTGGCCGGGCCCGGGTGCCCGGGCGCCCGGGTGCCCGGGTTCGCCGCCGATTCGGTGGCCGGGCCCGGGTGCCCGGATGCCCGGGTGCCCGGGTGCCCGGGTGACGGGTGCCCGGTGCGCGGGTGGGTGCCTAAGTGCCAGGTGCCCAGGTGCCCGGTGCCCTGTAGCCCTATAGCCTTATTACCCTATATCCCTATCGCCCTATATAGACCTATAACCCATATAGCCATATAGCCCATATAGCGCCCAAGAGCCCATATAGCCCTGTAGCCCTACAGCCCTAAAAAGATTATGATTGGGATGTTTCTCTGGTATCATTAAGTGAGGTGGGCCGCCGATGTCGGTGGCCGGCCGGGTGCCCGGGCGCCCAGGTGCCTGGGGGTGCCCGGAAGTGCCCGGGTGCCCGGGCGCTCTATCTCCCTATGGCCGTAGAGCCGATAGCCCTATGGCCATATCGCCCTATAGCCCAGTAGCCCAATCGCCAAATAGCCCTATAGCCCCATAGCCCTATAGCTCTCTCTTTCTCTCTCTCTATATATATAGCTCTATAGCCCTGTAGCCCTAATAGCCGTATTGCCCTATAGCCCTATAGCTCTATAGCAGTATAGCCCTATCGCCCAATAGAGCCTTATAGCATCATAGCCCTATAACCCTCTAGCCCTATAGCCCTATAACCCTATAGCCCTATAGCGCCATATCCCCATGGTCCCATAGCCCTATAGCCCTATAGCCTTATAGCCTTATAACCATATATCCCTATAACCCTATTGCCCTATAGCCCTGAAGAGATCATGACTGGGTTTTACTCCGGTTCCATCATTTGCTTGATCGGCAACCAACAAGGGAGCATAACCCATTGTTTTGGCTAGCCATATAGCCCGATAGCCCTAAACAGATCATGGTTGGGGGTTTTCCTTCGGTGCCATCACGTGCTTGATCGGCAGACCAATTGGGAACATAACCCATTGTTCTGGCGAGGTAAATCGTGCCTGTATTCGACTTCGCAAGCCTCCTGTCGCCCTTGGACCACTGCGTTTGTGCTGGTCGTAGGACCTCAAATGTTCGCCAGATTTACATCGCCGCTCCGAAAGTTCCTCGGCATTTTCTGAATTGGGCCCGATGGTATTGCATGCTCGCCTACGTTGCAGCCCTCTTGGCAACGGCCCCGATGGGGTTGAGGGGCAGGATGTGTTGAACCCCCCTCCCCCTAGAAGCCTAGCAAGATATCCCTCTTGCATGGTCTCGGAGGGATCCTCGGCGAGTAGTTCCCCCTTTAATAATATAGTTGTAGTCCAGCCAACCATAAATCGCACCCATGAAAAATAGGGTCCGGATAAATCCCGCGGTGGGACCCAATCCCGCGAATGTATGACGTGTTCGGGTCGTCTTGAGGTCATCCTGCAATCATCTCCAGATCCTCTTAAGACATGGTGTTGTGCTCTGGGAGTGCTCCGGCCACCTCGGGGTCGCTCTGGGGCCACAGCGCTTGGTCTGCAGGGCATCGCTCACATCTTGGGCCGGCTTAGATTCGCCCCGAGGCCATTTCGACGTTGCGTCTGGATCCTGCAGGGGCCACGGGGTCTTCTCGGGGTCGCCCCGAGGTCATATTCGTGCCCGTCTGAAGCCGTCGTGGAACCATCCTGGGGCCATGGGGCCGCCCAAGCATCCTGTCTGGGTCGTCTGGAGGTCTTCCGAGCTTCCAAGGAAAATGTCTTTACGCTTATGCCTGATCGCGCCTGCCGCATTCCGTATAATTTTG